TATTATGGCCATATTATACATTGTAGTTGATTTGTATAATTTTGTATATTTTTTTGAATTGCAAAACGCTTTACTTTGTATCTAAATTGAGAAAAACAACATACTGGTTTGGTTATAATCATTTTTATATTAAACAAATTGTGACGCTACTTGGAAATGAGAATTTAATTTTGTTCTATTGTTTCTTACTAAATTTTAATTCTATACTTATCCCATATACATATTTATAACCAGACTGTGTAGAATTGTCATTAATCAAAAGGTGCTCTTTGCATATTTATGATTTATAAAAATACTTACAACATACCAAAATACATACCAAATACAAAAATGAAATAATAAGAATTTACACAATCAGACTACTTGGCAGATTACTTTTAATTATTAAAAACTATTTATTCTGTGTTAAAAACTAAAATTTTTGCATACTTTACATTATTTTGTGAAACTATACAAAAATATTAGATTTTAAAAGTCTCATATTAAAGATGCTATAATATTTTAACTTTACTTATATTTTTGTTCAGTTGTAGGCAAAACGACGGTTTTATTTTATGTAAAATTGAATGATCCCGTCACTGCTCTTTCATCTCACTTCAGTTCAAGTAAAACCGCCCGTTTTTTCGTTTATACACAATTAGGGTTTCCAAACCGAGATCCCGGTATATGTTTATCCCGAAATCCCCATATTAAATCCCGAGATCCTGAAAATCCCGAAACATTTAAATGCCCAATCTAAAATGATTCGACTTTATACACCTTAGTCTTTTAAAGATCATATTTTATTTGTACTAAGCATAACGTCTCAATATTTAAAAGTTATATTTCCGTGTATACTATATTTTTTATTTTTGCAACAAAAATTGTATTTTTTTACTTACTAAATATGAATGTTACTTTGTTTTGTCTATTTTAATAAAGCTCTTTTCTCATTTTCTTTTTGATATATGTAGTGTGCATTTTTATTTAGTATATCTTTATTATACATTTCTCATTCTGATAGTCAATCTCGGGATCCCGTGATTATAGGTTCCAATCCCGGGATTTCAAAACGTGATCCCGATTCCGAAAATTGGAAACCCTACGCACAATGTTTTAATCGATACGTTTTAACTGAACAGATAAAAAAGGTTTTCAAGGTGCTCTGTTTTTTGGGTTCTCTCATTAAAATTACCTTAATTTTATTAAACCGTTAACATAGGATCACAGTGTATAATATAATATTGTTTAGACTAGACACCATACTTTAGAATAAAATTCTTACTCTGTAAATGTGTTTTTGTAAATATTAAATTAATACAATTAGATCGGCATAATATTAATTTTATTTCAAAGTAACAATACTATATTGTTTTAGTAGGAGTAAAAATGACACCTTTTGTGGCGATGCTGTACGTTTCACGTACAGGCGAGGCACAAAAAGACACATTTTTACTCTGAATAGAACATGCTATTTATTTTTTCAAACGCCACAAATATTTTTTTTCTATTTCTCACGATTATTAAAAACCATTATGTTTTTTAAATTATACATGGTTGATACTTAATATTATTTTTTTTTCTTTTGAAATGAGTTTTGGACCAGAGGATGGACGAGTATAACATGGCATAAAAAAGGACGCTCACGGATTGGTAAAGCTTCGCTAAAAACGCTGTTAACAACTGTTTAATGTAGTTTACAAAGGCCCCATACACTTCGGTTATTTTGCTCGGTTTTAACCGCGCAGTTAAAAACGCGCGGGTAGAAAGCACGGGTAAGCAACCTCCAAATACTGTATCATTTTGCCCGGTTTATCCGCGTTATTTACAAGAACGATGGATGCGAGAAAGAATTTGCGTACGAAGTGGCTGTACTAACTGCTCTATAAAAAAAAGGAAACCCAAAAATGAGGCTAAAGAAGAATATTACAAAAGTTGGCTACTTAAACGGCAACAATTTTCGCATATTAATTTATTAAAGGAGCTTTCCTCAGAAATTACCTTTCTTATTTTAGAAGTGAAACTTCTTTACGCGCGCTGGGAGTAAAAATTCAAGGCCGTGACACAAGCTAGTTGTAACGAAAAGTAGTAATAGTACGAGAGCTAGCAACGTCGGAAAAAAACAAGTATTTTAAGATGTCTGGCTCTTTGATATATCTTTTACTATGCTCTCTGGAACAGCAGTATGTCGTCTGGCTGCCGATGCCGATACCCGTTACGTTCACTACTGCTCATCGGAAGAAGATCCTATATTTTTTATTAATTTTTAGTCCTATAAATTCTAGTATTGAATATAAATCGAACACGTCTCCATAGCGCAGTGCGTAGAGTTTCCGACCACGAACCGATCATTCAGAGTCCGAATCCGGGTCAGGACAAGTACTTTTTTATTTTATTTTCGTTTATATTCTTATAGTAAAGTATTAAATATATTTTTTTTAATCACCATGTTTATTTAATACTTTACTATCAGAATATAAACGAAAATAAAATAAAAAAGACTTACTTCGAACTCGACCGAATTCGAACTCTGAACCATCGGTTCGTGGTGGGAAACTCTACGCACTGCGCTATGGAGACGTGTTCGATTTATATTCAATAGTAGAATTTATAGGACTAAAAATTAATAAAAAATATAGGATCTTCTTCCGATGAGCAGTAGTGAACGCAACGGGTATCGGCATCGGCAGCCAGACGACATACTGCTGTTCCAGAGAGCATAGTAAAAGATATATCAAAGAACCAGATGTCTTAAAATACTTTCTCAAAAACGTTGCTAACTCTTAGACTATAAGGACAGCCTACGGCTTAGAAATACGTAGTGACGCGACGTGTATTTATGAGCAACCCTCGTGTTTATCAAAAATATTGATATTTTAATACAAATTAATTATTACGTAACGAAAACTATTTGTTACACGTAAAAAACAATATTTTCTTTTTTTATTTTACGCATATAAAACTATTTGTTATACGTAATAAAACTAATTTTTACGCGTATAAAACTATCTGTTGCGTGTAAAAAAATACTTTTTACGCGTAAAAACTATTTGTTACACTCAAAAAAATATGTTTGCATGTAAAAACTATTTATTACACTAAAAACAACTATTTGTTACACGTAAAAAACTATTTTATACGCGGAAAAAACATTATTTTTAATTTATTACTTTTTCAACATTTGAAACTACACTTTTTCGAACAGTGTCGTTCAATTTAATAGTTGTTAGTTAGATGTTTTACTTCAAATATGCGCAAACAGTGCACATACAATTTTTTTGTGGAAAAATCTTAGAGTCAATTTTCTTTTTTTACACTTTTCCTGTTTGCCCGAGAGTCTATAGTTTATATCCTAGCATTTTGCTATCAATTTATTATAGACCTCGTTTTTCTTTTCCCTTGTAATGATTCCCCGCAGATTCAATTTTCCATTCCAGGCATAGAAATATACCGGGTGCGTTTCCCCTCTAAAACTTTCTTATTTTTCTCAGATAAAAAAACGTGATTTGGTATGTTAGTATATGACATAAATTAGGATTGATTGACGTATTCAATTGTTTGGGCTACTTCCTGTCTCGCCGGAAATGACTTCAACTTTTGATTTTTAAATGACATCCTCGGTATTTTTTTACTTTATTCGATAGAAAATGACACTGAATAGGATGACATATCATATGGCAACTTTTGAACTTTTCACTTGAAACGAAATTGTATTTTAAATTTCAATCTAGAGTGCCATGGCTGTGTTAAAAACACTAATTTTTAATCAAGGAACTGTGGAAAAATAGATTTGATCTTCTAATGTTTTTAGTGTCTTGTCCTGGCCAGTTAAAAGATGCCCAAATCGTAATTTTTAACAAACCATATTTAAAAATGTCAAAAGTTGACATGATATGTCATTCTATTCAGAGTGTCATTATCTATCGAATAAATTAAGTAACAAAATGAAAATACCGAGGTAGCCGTTCAGAAATCAAAAGTTGTAGCCATTTCCGGTGAAAAAGGAAGTGACCAAAAACTATTGAATACGCCAATCAATCCTAATTTATGTCATAGACTAACATACCAATTTTTTTTCGGAAAAAATAAAAAAGTTATAGGGGTGAGCCACTTTTGAGACGCACCCGGTATATAACTGAATAAATTCAATGGTAATTTTTGTTGAACGTAAGGACGAAATACCGTATGATCGAGAAAAAACGGCGTCAGCGATGGCTATGAAATGAAGATCGCTGTCATTTTATATGTAAATTTATATGGGAAATGTCATCGATCGTCATTTCCCAGCCAACTAGACGCCGTTTTTTTTTCGATCATACGGTATTATCTGATATTATATTATTCAACAAGCATATAATGGTGGCTGTTATTCACACGGATGAAGTTTATGACACGAGCCGCAGGCGAGTGTCATAAATCATCCATGTGAATAACAGCCGTTATATGCGAGTAGAATACTATACTTTATCCAGGACTATCAAAAAAATTTAGATAATTATTAATATAAGTTTTTATTTTTATTGTCAAAAGATATTGAACGAGTATAACGAGTAAGTAACATGGAAACAAAACATTGAAATTTTTCAATGCTTTCATAGCCACCTTTGTTTTTTATTTTGTGCGTACAATCGCTGACAGATACCAACGAACGAATAAAACTGGACCGAACACTATACACTGGGGTTTTTAAATTATAGTCCTACCTGTCCGGTTAAAACCGGGCAAAATAACCCAATTGTATGGGGGGCTTAAAACAGATATTTTAATTTATTTCACTGTTACGTAATTCTATCGATAATATATTTTTTATTTTGTGTAGAAATCAAAATTTTGGTAGAAACAACAGAAAATGTATGTTGTGAAGAAAGAGATCGAAATATCATTCTTCAGCTTTTTCTTAGTTTTCTACAGTTTTTATTTTTTTTGCATTGTTACGCTTTTTATGTGTGTTTTCCGCCAAACATTAAAAAACTGAGAAAGACGCGTAAACGCCCATCTCTGGTCGGAATCTGTTCATTATCTTATAAATTAGTAAACGTATTCTGAAACTCGTTATATTTCTTTATTTCTTCAGACGATACAGTGGTCGGTATATTACTTACTGCTTCGTAGAAGTCTGACATTGTTACTTCTCTAGCTCTGACGGACATTGGCGGCATATCCTTTAATTCACAAAGAAATATATTCTCTGTGTCGAATAAATCATTTTCTGGGATTAATAAATTGGTTCCTTGGTAGGGCTCATAAGTTGCATCTATACATTTTCTCCAAATTTTGGTATCTTGTAATTCCATTAGAGGCATATTTAAAGCATCTTGTATTAAATTGGAAATATCAGATCCAGATAAACCATCAGACAATTCCACAAGTTTTATTACTTCATCAATGGATTTTAATATAGGAATATTTTTAGTAAATAATTGAAGTAATTCTAATCTATCTTCGCTGTTGGGAAGCGGCACATAGAGCTGTTTCCGAAATCGTCTTAATATTGCTGAGTCTAAGTCCCAAGGTCGATTTGTGGCTGCTATTATAACTATGTTAGGACAGTTATTAATATTAGATAAATGAGTCATTAATTCAGTCTTGATCCTGTAAATATAACATATTACTATTTATAATAATTGTCCCTCAAAAAATAACATTCTTATAGTTTTTGGTGTTTAGTATAATTTTTACATAGCAAAAAAGTACCTTCTAGTGTACTCATTTTCTGAACTATTTCGTTTACGACATACACCATCAATTTCGTCTATAAATAACAAAGAGTATTTATCAGTTAATTTTAGATGTGCAAAAATCTCATGGATATTTCTAAAAAAGGTAAAATAGTATAAATATTTAAGGTGATATATATCTTTGAATTTGAAATAAGTAGGTACATGTTTTTATATGAATTTATGTTATAGAAAATAGTGTATTCATGTAAATGCTGACTTTACTTTTCAGTTTCTCCTACATAAGATGATAAAACATCACTCAGTGATACAGAATACAGAACGGCCTTTGATTCGGCTGCTACAGCATGCGCTAATTTCGTTTTACCAGTTCCTGGAGGACCATATAGTAAAATAGTGTTGCTAATGCTACAGTTATTAAATAACTGAGGTTGCTGCCGCGGTAAAATTGTTAGTGTGAAAAGTATTCTTTTGATATCCTTTAATCCAGCTATTTCGTGTAGTCCACTAACTGTAGGTTGAGTAATACAATTAAGTAATTTTTCGTTAGAGTTCGTTAACGATTTTTCTGATGACTGGCCGTTTTGACTGGTAATTGTGTTGGTTTTACTTGCAACAATTTTTTCTATGAAGTATAACAAGTTTTTCAGAAGAGAAATATTTTCTTCTAAACCTTGTAGAATAGATTCTAATAAATCTGAATTATTGTTCGACATTTTTTTACAATTATCAACGATAGAAAATCAACCAATTGTAGATATTTTGAATTTTTTTACTTTTCAAGTTTTCAGTTAAATTTTTTATATTAAAACAATTGCCAACAAAACTCTGGGCGACATCTGGTAATTGGTAGATCAGTTATAACCTTGTTTATATAACAATGCTGTGACCAAGGATATATAGAAGAAGGATATTCAACTCCCTATAGCGGGCTATGTAGGAAAATATGCCGTATTTTGTCGAGGAAGACGATTACGTCACGACCAATGAACGTCGAGTATTTGAAATTGAAAACATATAAATTGACGGTAACCTATGTTTTTTGACTCATTTCACTGACAGACGTGATGAGATTATTATTGTAATTTATAGATCCAAACGTTTTTTGAAAAAATAATGTATTTTAAAGTTATTTCCTAGAGTTTGGTTTGGCCTTCTATATTTTGGTATTTGTCTACTAATAAATAATATCTTATTTTGTATTTCGATGTATGGAAATCCACCAAGTTTTGTATCTGAAGCCGCAAAGAAATTTCGCTCTATAGTGAGAAAAATGTTATTATATCTTTTTAGACGTGTAGAATTACAAAATTTCTTATTTCAGATGTTCTAAATGTGAGTGCATGTCAAAAATTTAAATATATACTTTATATATTATTTCAAGTTATATGCTTTGACATTTTTTGGAAGTAAACAAATATTGAAGAAAGTGTTGTGCCTTCACAGAATTTAAATTGGCATTAGGAATAGATTTCCTTGATTTAGTAATGATATTGCTCATAGAAATTGATAATGTGAAGAATAACAATACAGGAACATAGAATAACAGAAAGAAATTCTAGCAGCAAGTTAGGTTATGAGATAAATTTTATTTATATAGTTTGTTTAAAGAGTTTAGTATGAAAAAAAGTTAAAACAATTATTATTGTCCAGGTCATATTTGATAACTGTTGTTAATTGATAACATATTACAGGGACACAGTAAAAAGACAAAACATTTAGACCCTTTGAAAGAGAAATGTTTGCAATGGATATTAATAAATTCTAGCCAATTTGTACGATGTACAATGCAGGCAATATTTCTGCCTCCTAACGCACTATTCGCTTAAAAGAAGATGTGGGTATTGTATTTATACCTAGGTAGTTAATGATACATGGAATATATTTCTATATTATTGCAATAACGATGTCTTTATGTTGTATTTTTTAGAACAGATTTATTATTAGTTGGCTAGTGTGTTAGTAGGATAGCCATTGGTAGTTATAAAGTATGAAGTCGTCAGGTATTAATAATAGGAATTGATCAAAGCTTATACATTTATTGTGATATTTATATTGTGAATTTAAGTAGTTAGTTTTGGTTGTTTAATAAACGAATTAATGTGCTTATTGTGTATCTAATAAAAGAACAATGAAAAGTTGAATACCATAGTATGTTATACAAAGAATTTGCATCAACATTTTTTTGGTTATATACTTGTACTGATATTTGTTTCTTGAACTAAAGAATTATACATTACCTACTACACAATATATAATCTGCAGCTACATAGGTAGGTAGCTATTGGTAATTAAATTTTTTATCTAATATAATATCTAACATCAGAAATATTGTTAATTATCAACTATAAACAACTAAGGACTAGAATTATCAACTATAAACACAATATAATATACTGTATCTTAAGCAATATGTAATTATTTAACAATTATTTTTTTTGGGAAATAAAAACTGGTACTAAATTCTTTTTGACTATTTAATTTCTAAGTCACAAATAATGGTGGACAAATAGCAAGAAAATTATACAAGTAAAACATAATTTTAACTTATTTCTCTAATGGAATTTTGGTATTGATCTACTTAGTAGGATATGCAGTTAATCATATTTTTGAATATTTATATTCAATATTGTTCAGGAACAGCCCAATTACTCTGAAAAAAAAATATATGGTCAAATTCTTTGAAAAGAAACTTTTAAAATCAGTAATGATAAGAAAATATATAATTGTTGTATAGCAGAACCAGGGGACACAGAATTAGGGGAATTAATAGGGTTCCCAACCGTCCCGGTTTGGCCGGGATTAACCAGGAATCAGAAAGTGTGTCCCGGCGAAAGTTTTGCCTTGGCCGGGACCTGGAAACTAAAAAAATGTGTACTACACACATAATTTATTTTATTTTCTAATATTTAATGTTTTGTTTCAATTATTTAAAAGCTTAAAAATAATTGTCCCGGAATCGCCGATGCTCAAGTTGGGAACCCTAGGAATTAACAATAGATTATTAAAAACTGCCTTCTCTTAAAAAAGTAGTATTATATGCACTTAGAAAGACTATAAAGGATATAAGTACACATAGAAAGAAAGTAAGTATCTATACTACTGATATATATATATATATATATATATATATATATATATATATATATATATATATATATATATATATATATATATATATATATATATAACTATATATGAATACGATACCTACAGTATACAATATTACTAGTATAAAAATAACAGCACAGTCGGCACACTTTAAAATAAAAAAGCAGCATAATATTCAGGTATGTATAAAAGTAAAATTTTCTCAAAAATATTAGAATATGAAATAAATTGCAACTAAATTTTAATTAATAAACATAAACAAATAAAATTGTCAGTGTTATTAAAACTTTATGTAAATATATGTTACCTTAATACTTGTCTTTAATCCTACTCTTCTGACATGGCTTTTCAAACTTATCCCCAAATCTCAATTCTTGTTATTAAGAATAATATTTATGAACTTTTGTTTCCATATTAATTTCAATATATTTGAATAAAACTGGAAAAATAATCAATATTGACACTTGAAATATTAATTTCTTATGTCCTTAAATTATTTATATCGTGTTATACATAATATTTACATAAATATTCAATTTAAAAATAGATCAGCACTTGAACGAGTGAATATAAAATAGTATATCATCAATTTCTATGAGCAATATCATTACTAAATCAAGGAAATCTATTCCTAATGCCAATTTAAATTCTGTGAAGGCACAACACTTTCTTCAATATTTGTTTACTTCCAAACAATGTCAAAGCATGTAACTTGAAATAATATTTCAAGTATATATTTTAATTTTTGACATTAAGCACTCACATTTAGAACATCTGAAATAAGAAATTTTGTAATTCTACACGTCTAAAAAGATATAATAACATTTTTCTCACTACAGAGCGAAATTTCTTTGCGGCTTCAGATACAAAACTTGCGAATTTCCATACATCGAAATACAAAATAAGATATTATTTATTAGTAGACAAATACCAGAATATAGAAGGCCAAACCAAACCTCTAGGAAATAACTTTAAAATAAATTATTTATTCAAAAAACGTTTGGATTTTGGATCTATAAATTACAATAACAATCTCATCACATTTGTCAGTGAAATGAGTCAAAAAACATAGGTTACCGTCAATTTATATGTTTTCAATTTCAAATACTCGACGCCCATTGGTCGTGACGAAATCGTCTTCCTCGACAAAATACGGCACGTTTTTTTTGGGCCAGTCGAATATCCTTATTCTATATATCCTTGGCTGTGACAAAGCCTCTACACTCCATAGATCTATGATATTTTTTCTCTGGATCTATTCTCGATCTGTCACTCTATGAACTGTCAGTGTCAGGTTTAGGTGTCAGCTGTGTCATTTGTACGTCACTTTGGTCAAAAATGTCCGATTTTTTCATATTTCATGTTTTTACATACTAATGAATGCTGATTAATTTAAAATTTCGGGCGACTTGAAGCGAGTGTATGTCTTAAATTTAGTGTAAAACCTTATTTGACTACTTACAACTGTAAATTTTTGGTAAGTACATATTTTATTTATCAATTATTGCTGATTGCTGTGGTAGATGTTTTTCATATTTTTTATTAACACAATTTTTGTTTATGGTGTCTTTTTCTTCTGATAGTTTTTAATCACTGATATGTCTTACTCGTATAGTATATTTCTGTAAGTGCGTACTAAATAATATGTTAAAACAGAAGTATTTTCTTATGTGGTTTCTAAATATGTTTAGCAGCCTACTTTTATGCTTACAGGTAGGTGTTGCTTGCAATGTAATGAAGAGAATACTGTTAAGGAAATATCCTATGATATCTTGTCAAAGTGCATACATATACCTAGTTGTTTGTGGAAAACTGTAGATTTTGAAATAAGTTCACATAGAAGTTTATTTTGTAGTTTTTGAATGGGACAAATGCCAGACCACTTAGTTTTCCAATTAAATCATTGACCAGGCATTTTTAATAACTTAGGTTTAGCATACTACATTATAATACAGTTACTCATTCTTCTATAAATGATATCAGGTACATTATAATATAAATGAAGGACAAGGGTGAAAAGAGACGATGTCACAAAACTGACTTTTATGGAGAAAACTGATTTAATGTTGCCAAATATCATGTTAATGATACAAAAAGTTATTACTGTATGTTTTATTATTTGGACATCTTTTGTTATATTCAGTTACAATTTAGCATGTGTTTGGGACTTGGTATTCTCAACAGATTAAGTTGATTGCTTAAAAGTTCCTATAAAATGGACATCGTTGTTTTTTCCCCTTACCCTTCGAATAATATAAAATATCTTGAGATTTACTCAAGATATGCCCTATGCTCTACGGCGATGCCTACAATCTGTGCCTATCACTATCTATGTTAAATCCTGCAAACATACCTACAATATCTACTAATGGATTATATATAAAATGCTAATGTTTATCTGTGTCGTCTCTACTGAAGTAACGACTTGCTCTAGAAAGTTGCTTTTTTTTACTAAAAGATAGCTTAATTGGCTCTTCTAAAAACTGTCGTCGCCGGATTTTTTGTTTTTCATTTAATTAAAAAAATAAAAAGTATTTTTTTCTGATGTCGTGGCGGATGCGCCAGGCTTCAACTAGTTAACAGCGTTTTCAGATGGAGCGGACCGTCCGCGACGGTCCGTCCGCGACTTCGAGCAAGTACCATGAGTTTATATGAACGATTTCACATGGGTCGCGTATGCTCCGTCTGGATGAGCTATATTGAAAAAACATCCGCGCGGACGCTCCGCGCGTACGGTCCGCTCCATCTGAAAGCGCTGTAACTTATTTTGATTCCAAAAAAATATTACTTGCTTTATGTCCACGGAATATTGCAATTCCCTGTATATTTTGTAGGTCTGGTTTGGAAAAATAAATTCTCAAAAAAAAATTATCAAAAACTATGCAATCTGGCGTTTTTTTACAAGAGACAAAAAATGTAGTAAATACTTGAAGAACCATTTTACGAAAAAGAAATCGGTCGGGGATTGAGCTGGAAAATATTTATACTAAAATTTATGTAAGTGTGGGGGTAGTTTTCACCCTTCCCGTACTTTTTCTTAATTTTTGTGAAAGTTAAAAAATGTTAAAGCAACAACATTTAAAAATATATACAAAACTCCAAGGCCTTCAAGTGTGGTGTTTTCATAATAAATTTTGAATTGATGAAATAAATGACGAATTGATCAAAAATGTAACAGGTATGATTTTTCAATTCACAACATATATATGTAACTAAACAAACATAGTATATCTTCTACATATATAAAATGCTAATGTGTATTTGTGTCGTCTCTACTGAAGTAGCGACTTGCTCTAGAGAATTGCTTTTTTTACTAAAAGATAGCTACATAATTGGCTCTTCTAAAAACTGGCGCCGCCGGATTTTTTGTTTTTCATTAATTAAAAAAAATAAAAAGTATTTTTTTCCTGATGTTGTGGCGGATGCGCCAGGCTTCAACTAGTAAATATATAAAAATCTATCTACAGTATGTAGATTCCAATTCTCTTTACAAGAGGAAAAGCTTTTTTATTAGTGATATTTTGAGGAAAATGCAGTCTTTATAAAAATTTTGCTTGTTCTAAAATGGCTAATCCCGTTTATACTTTTCCAAATTTCCGTACCTTTTTAGAGAAAAAAAAAGTGAATATACGGTTGAATTTTTTGCTAAAAATTACTAAAGGCGTTTAAAATTAAAAAGTCCTAAAAATTAAAAGTCGTTTCTATAGTAATAGCATTTCAATTTCATTCTTTGATAAATGGATATTATTAATTTTGATTAACGTAATTTTTTTGCTATTGTTAGAGTATCACATTATCGAATAACTATTATCATCCTTTCCGTAACATTGATTTAAATAAATTTTGTGCTTCTTTAACATTTTAAAACAGCAAAAAAAAAGACGTTAATTAAAATTCTATCAATAACAATCTATCAAAGAATGAGAACGAAATTATATTACCATAGAAACGCGTTCTGATTTTTAGAAAAAAATCAAATATTATACAGGGTGTTT